CCTAATTGGAAAAGGGGAAACCAACACGGGCGGTTAAACCCGTCTGTAAAAAAGCAGGCAAAAATTTAATGAAATTACACTTGGAAGGTCCTGAGGATTGGTACCAAACCTGCACACGAAAATCACTCCATATTAAAGCAAAAGACTCGGCAGAGATGCAACATCCCCCGATGAAAGCAGGGTGCCACATGTACACTGAGAGACTACACAGTAAGTTGTCGGGGCCCAGACTGTTCAAGTGCCTCCCAGCATACATTAGGGGGATTACCACAAAACCCTGGCTATCTTCAAGAGGCACTGGACAGGCACCTAAAGTCAGTACCTGACCAACCGGCTGTGGTTCGTACGTCAGCTGCGTGCGGCCAGCAGTAACACCGGTTGATCTTACCCTGATCCACCATGAGGCTGGTCTCAGACCGAGCCGCGGGAGCGTTGATCCCCGAAACCCTTTCCAGGTAAACTCCAGGATATCTGTCACCTACACTAACACGTACGCGCAGGATGTACGATTCACCGACAAATGAATATTTCTCAGTGTATATACACTGAAAGTTTCCCTTAATCCTTGCCCCGTTAAGCAACCAACAACATGGGCGAAGAATGTCACAGTATCGGTAAAAAAAAAATGCTGAGCTTGACTTTATTGGTTGGTAGGGTATTGGTTGGAGATGTATGGTTGTAGGTTCATTGGAACATCCAAAAGAAAACGACAAGCATTGCCTAACTCCGTTTACATATGTAGTGTGTTTCCATTGTTGCAACATCTTGATGGAATGTTTCTCCGTGCTTGCCACCTCAGAAAAACTGAGAAATGCGTGTGAAGAAAAAACAATTCGAGTGACATGTTGCAGGCCAACCGCTGGTAACTTTGCAGTAGTTGATCCACCAGTGACTTGTAGTTACGGTCTCTGTGTCTGCCAACATATCTGCTGTTAAATTTCTTCAACAAATAGCAATTTGCTAACTTCACGTCATTCACTGCCATCTGACGATCACTACCAGCAATAATGCTGACGAATTTGTAGACCTTCGTCAGTCTTGTCCTCTCTTAGTATGGAGAGCGTTCCTAGCAAGTGTATGAATGCTGGGATATATAACCTTTGTGGGGCTTAGCTCTTAGTTTTGATTGTAATAATAATAATAATAATCATAATAATGTGAATGCTGGTTTATCCTTATCCACTGCCTTGACTAGTTGTCTGATAAGACAACCTTAATGTGCAGTGGTGGCAACAAAATCTTGTCCTTTGCAACCAACTGAGCATTGACTACATTGCATGCACCTGCAATGAATGAATCACGGGGTGCGTGAACCTCCCCCAAGGTGCTGTATGCATCAGTGTGATTTCAAAGGTGAGAGGAAAATATAAATGCGCTACTACTGAAACTACACTTACTGAAGCCGTGCGTATAACAGGCTGGTATGTTATAGTTACTCTCGAAATTAAAAAAAAATCTAGCTGTTCGTAATACAAAAATTAAAATTTATTCCTTAATTGCAGTCTTTAGAAAAATATAAAAGTCATAAGTGTGATAATAACACATTAAACCCACCGAGTTAATGATCAGTTTTTTTTTTTTTGTATTACATGAAGTGCTAAACCCATGAGGACCATATTGTGCAAAGAAGGTGAAAGCTAGACTATCTCTCTGTTAATTATACCCCAACACTATCCCGTCCACCACAACCACACTATCCTGTCCACCACAACCACACTATCCCGTCCACCACAACCACACTATCCCGTCCACCACAACCACACTATTCCGTCCACCACAACCACACTATCCCGTCCCCACAACCACACTATCCCGTCCACCACAACCACACTATCCCGCCCCACACCACACTTCCCGTCCACACAACCACACTACCCGTCCACCACAACCACACTATCCTCCCCCCACCACCCCACTACCCGCTCCCCACCACAACCTCACTATCCCGTCCACCACAACCACACTATCCCCTCCACAACCACCTATCCTGTCTACCACAACCACACTATCCCGTCACCACAACCACACTATCCCGTCCACCACAACCACACTATCCTGTCCACCACAACCACACTATCCCTTCCGCCACAACCACACTACCCCGTCCACCACAACCACACTATCCCGTCCACCACAACCACACTATCCCGTCCACCACAACCACACTATCCCGTCCACCACAACCACACTATCCCGTCCACCACAACCACACTACCCCGTCCACCACAACCACACTATCAAGTCCACCATAAACACTATCCCGTCCACCACAACCACATATCCCGTCCACCACAACCACCACTATCCCGTCCACCACAACCATACTACACCCGTCCACCACAACCACACTATCCCGTCCACACAAACCTCACTATCCCGTCCACTACAACCACACTATCCTGTCCACTACAACCACACTATCCCGTCCACCACAACCAACTATCCCGTTCACCACAACCACACTACCCCGTCCACCACAACCACACTATCCCGTCCACCACAACCACACTATCCCGTTCACCACAACCACACTACCACCGTCCACCACAACCACACTATCCCGTCCACCACAACCACACTATCCCGTCCACCACAACCTCACTATCCCGTCCACCACAACACACACTATCCTGTCCACCACAACCACACTATCCCGTCCACCACACCACACTATCCCGTTCACTCCACAACCACACTACCCCGTCCACCACAACCACACTATCCCGTCCACCACAACCACACTATCCCGTCCACCACAACACACCTATCCCGTCCACCACAACCACACTATCCCGTCCACCACAACCACACTATCCTGTCCACCACAACCACACACTTACCCCGTCCACCACAACCACACTATCCCGTCCCACCAACCACCCACTATCCCGTCCACCACAACCACACTATCCGTCCACCAACAACCACACTATCCCGTCCACCACAACCACACTATCCCGTCCACCACAACCACACTACCCCGTCCACCACAACCACTACTATCAAGTCCACCACAAACACACTATCCCGTCCCACCACAACCACACTATCCCGTCCACCACAACCACACTATCCCGTCCACCACAACCCACTATCCCGTCCACCACAACCACACTATCCCGTCCACCACAACCACACTACCCCGTCCACCACAACCACACTATCCCGTCCACCACAACCTCACTATCCCGTCCACCACAACCACACTATCCTGTCCACCACAACCACACTATCCCGTCCCCACAACCACACTATCCCGTTCACCACACCCCACTACCCGTCCACCACAACCACACTATCCCGTCCACCACAACCACACTATCCCGTCCACCACAACCACACTATCCCGTCCACCACAACCACACTATCCCGTTCACCACACCCACACTACCCCGTCCACCACAACCACACTATCCCGTCCACCACAACCACACTATCCCGTCCACCACAACCACACTATCCCGTCCACCACAACCACACTATCCCGTCCACCCACAACCCACTTTTCCCGTCACCACAACCACACTACCCTGTCCACCACAACCACACTATCAAGTCCACCACCACCACACTATCCCGTCCACTACCACACTATTCCGACCACCACAACCACACTATCCTGTCCACCACAAACCACACTATCCTGTCCACCACAACCCACACTATCCTGTCCACTACAATCACACTACCCCGTCCACCACAACCACACTATCCTGTCCACCACAACCACACTATCCTGTCCACCACAACCACACTATCCTGTCCACCACAACCACACTATCCTGTCCACCACAACCATACTATCCTGTCCACCACAACCACACTATCCTGTCCACCACAACCACACTACCCCGTCCACCACAACCACCGTATTCCGTCCAACAGAACCACATTACCCCGTCCACCACAACCACACTATCCCGTCCACCAAAAACCACACTATCCCGTCCACCACACACCCACTATTCGCTTACCACAACTACACATAACCCCACCACTCCCACACACCATCCCGCCCCCACAACCACACCCCCACACCATCTGCCAGCTACACCATTCCGCCCACCACACCAATTTGACAATAACACACACCCACACTATCCCGCAGACCACACAACACCCACACTATCCCGCAGACCACACACACCCCACTATCCCGCAGACCACACACACCCACACTATCCCGCAGACCACCACACCCACACTATCCCGCAGACCACACACACCCCACTATTCCCGCAGACCACACACACCCACACTATCCCGCAGACCACACACACCCACACTATCCCGCAGACCACACACACCCACACTATCCCGCAGACCACACACACCCACACTATCCCGCAGACCACACACACCCACACTATCCCGCAGACCACACACACCCACACTATCCCGCAGACCACACACAC